TTTGAAAGGTCTTAAATCAGGAGTATTTGTCACCCATTGTGGTTATTTCTCGATGATGTAAAGCTGCTGAAACGGTTAATAATGGTCCTGAAAAGGATTACGACCATTCCTATATTCTCCAAACGGAGGAAACAAATGTTCAAGCAAATCTCAGATGAGCAGTTGGTGAAAATGGCACTACTAGCACACACGAAAGCTCGAAATAGAACCAATACAGCAGTGGGGGTTGTTCTTGGGATGGGGGGCGAGGGGTGGGAGTAAGTGCGAATAACTTCTATTACGGAAAAAACGGCACTACTTTAGATCGGAGGAGAGAAACGCGTGCCTGCCGAGAGAGCAAAAAAAAAAAAACATCGCGAGCAGAGAAGCGTGAAAGCGACACGCCTCGAAAAAGTCCGTCCAATGGTAGAACACCGGAGGGCTTAGCCAAAGTAACGCGTCTCGCGTTGTTGCGTTTGCGCGCCGTTTGCACCACCACCACCTCTGTTTACTCGCCCGTTATATACCTATACACACTTAGTAACAGAAGTTGTACAGCGTACTATATAATACATGTATATATGTATACAGCAGTGGAATAAGCGTTCNTTTCTTGCTTATCCTTCCAAGAATCAAAATTGATAGAGTGACTCAGAAGAAATCATGCTTTCTTTTTTGGAATTGCTAATAAATTTAATTTTCATGCATAGAACTTTAAGTAACAATTGTCGTAAGTATTTATTAAATTGACATCCGAAGCCATCGATGACTACTTTTGAGCTTCGAAATGAGTTTATTCCTTAAGTGTTTCATAAACACATTTCAAAACTAAAAAATGGTCATGGATGGCTTTGGATGTCAATTTTCATTATAAAATTAAAAAGTTTGGTTAGATAAAATCACATTTTTATGTATTTGAAGCCATCCTCAGAGAGACAGTTAAACGCCTAACTTAGGCTAGAAAGCTAAAGGCTAGAATCTGTATTTTTGAACCTAACTACCAAAAACTTTTTTTTTTTCAAATTAGTCTAAGTGTACAAATAAAGCCTATTACAAAATTCTTTTTTAATTTAATATTTGCGTTTGGAAACGTATCCAAATGTATCATTGAGATGTTGTGATATTTTTTAAACGTTACATTTAAAATACATAAATTAATTTGTTTTGTTTGGAATGTTATGCTGTAACAATTATTTTGCAAATACAATATTATGTCATTCTAGCTTTACAAATCAAGTGTAAAATTCTCTACGAATAAATATCGGTAGAAAAAGGAACGTAAGAGTCGATTTCAGATAAGAAAGTTATGCACCAGCAGCTAATTATGTGTTTGTGGTAATTATTTTAATTGTATATTGATAATCTTAATGCACATGTCAGTTACGTTTATGTTTTTGATTATTCGANCGCCGTTTGCACCACCACCACCTCTGTTTACTCGCCCGTTATATACCTATACACACTTAGTAGCAGAAGTTGTACAGCGTACTATATAATACATGTATATATGTATACAGCAGTGGAATAAGCGTTCGCCCAGCATCAGTCACCCATATAGTAGAGCGCGCGGTGGCTCGGTCGGCTAGGTCGTGGATTGGCACGCGGGAGACCGTGGTTCAATTCCCGGCCATAGTGCAACTTTTTCGGGCAAGTACCTCTGTGATTTTTCTCATGTGCTTTTTCACCACGCAATGCTCCTCGAGGAGGGTTTAGGCGACCTTCTCGCAGCAAAAATTGCCTAATTTCCCCCTNCTCTGTGATTTTTCTCATGTGCTTTTTCACCACGCAATGCTCCTCGAGGAGGGTTTAGGCGACCTTCTCGCAGCAAAAATTGCCTAATTCCCCCTACCCCCCTCCCTGTAATGGTGGGCCTTTCCATCTCTTTCCTTGTCCCTTTCCTAAGTGCTAAGTGCCCATAGTAGTGCCCTTATTAAAAAGGAGCCGGACGTAGAACACTCTAATAACCACACTTATTCAATTCTGTTGTAGGTAGCCTCGATTTTATGTCAACGCCACCTGGCGGATCCTACTGAACTGAAGTGAAAAGCTGGCGTATTTTTGCAAAACTTTGAGCTTATTTATTGCTGATGTTATTAAATTTTTCAAGATAAAAACTATACTAAAACCATCTAAGAAGTGTCACGAATCAGTGTGCAAAAATTCAGCAAAATCGGTTTAGTAGTTTTCGCGGTTAGCCATTACAACGGTTTTAGCGACTTTGCTGTATATATAAGTAAGATAAGACAAACAGTCCTAGATAAAGAGAGAAGGAGGCTAATAGGTATGTTCGTAGCAGTGAGCCTCCTAAAATAGTAAAATTAATTATTCTCATGCAAACTAAGCCTTCAACGGTATACTGCTTCACCAGAGGGTTTCTTTTCTCTAATAAAGCAAAATGAGTAACTTCTTTTTCATCGGCTATTTAAAAGATAGAAATAAATTCTCAACCTCCTAGTAAGTTCAAAGTACCAAGTTCAATGAAATTCATAACTTAAAAAGTGCTAGTAAACTAAGTAGGTACTATTCTAGCATAATCTTATTATCTAGTATTATAATAATTTTAATATATTAGCGAATTAGTGATGAAGTATAAAATAAGAAAAAAGGCGCGGGGAACGCGCTAGAAACAATTTTCCGTACGGGGAGGCTATGGGAATCGCGCCTCTGCGCTGCTACGCTTGTACTAAAGTAAAGTAGGGTGGCTCTCTCTCTGAGGTTTGGTACAGCTGCTGTTACTATTTTGCGAGAGCTCGCCTTATGTATATAGGACATCGGTCGATCCAAATGTCTCTCCATGTTGGGCTACAAATAAAGTGCAAAAATTTTATCTCGGCGTCAAAAACCAGCTGCCACTTAGTTGTTCAAATAATTCAGCGTGAAAAAAAACTTTCACTCTACTGTTTCCTGATTCATCCAACAAACCATAGATTCTCTACCACTCCTCTACAATATTAGTAACATCTTGTAATATATTATACGCATATATATATATATGGCTACTATCGCAGATTAATTTCAAGGTCAGAGGAAAACGTATGATACTTGTATGAAACATATAAAATATAGCGGAGGCCTCCAATGTACGAGTATATACGGATGCTTATATAACTATATATGGTGNTATTTTTGTTTCATCTCACAGTTCTAAAAAAAAAATTTAAGTCATACTTACATAATTTCGATGATAGAAAATAATGGTAATAAGTATTAACAGTTTTCAGCCCCAAGAGATAAATAACTTGAAAAAAACATGTCCAGTTAAAAAAAAATGTAAATACAAAACATTAAAATAATTCAATGATAAGAAAAAACATGAACTAAAACACATAGCTCGTTTTGACGAGTGTGAGTTAAGATTTAGAAAACCAAAAAAATAAAGTTTGAAGATTAATTTTAAAAATTGTACTGCATAATTCAAAACGTAAGGAATACAAAAAATTATTGTTTCAATATTCTTTAAAGTTCAATTTTAGTAATGTCTCAAAAATAAGATCTGCATATTGTAACGCATATTGTCTTAAAATTTAAGGCAAACTAAGACAATATTAATATAACTACTGACTATTGTAAGACACTAATGATACAATATTAAAATTGTTACTATTTATTGAATGTAAAAACGTGTAATTTAAAAAAATTACATTCAAGATACATATTATTGAAACTAATTTACAAAATTCATGATCTTTGAAACTTTTTAAACAATTTTTGAAAAACACTTATTATTGATAAGCTTGAATTTATTGAGAAGGAATTTAAAAAAAACAACTATTTGTACGCACCGTTGGTTACCCAATCTAATTAAGATAAGCTATAAACTAAATGATGATTCTTTGTTAATAACTACTTAAGTATAAGCAACTTTAGCATGATTGAATAATTTTTTTTGAACGGAAGAATGTACTTGATTACAATATTTAATCAAACAGTATATCTTTTAAATTTCTAACATTTCAAGAGGTTTTTTTTCTACGGAATTACAAAAGATTTTTTTAATTATTTTACAAATATCAAAAAAGTCTACACAGCTGTGAATAAGATTTTATCGAATTTCACTTAACTTAGATTTAAAAATAAATGGAGAAGTTAGGTTTTCCATTAACCACGGATCCCATTAGTCATAATTTTAGCTCTGTTTCAAAATGGGTGACTAATCAAAGTTATCTGATGGTTTAAACAATTGAGGTATCTTCAGAGGGTAGCGTAAATTTTTTATACGCTATACTTAGTTACATAATTTTGTACGTACGTTCTTCAAAAAAAATGTAAGAAAAACATACAAAAACTATAAGGTTTTTAAAAATGTACTATAAGCTTTTGTTGAAATGGGGCCCTTATTTGTTACCATCGGTCCAAAGAACAACTGCCGCTTTGTGCCCTCGGGCCACACTTTACGCCTTTGTAACCACTTTGGACCTAACGGCAAAACGTTTTTTGCACCCTCCGGACCCAAGCACTTCTCTGACTAGGGCCCAAAATGTGCCCACGGGCGCAAAATGGCACTTTGCACCCTCGATAAGGAAAACAAAATATACGACTTGGGCACAAACATACAACGACCGCACCCTTCGAGTGCTTATATGTTTGTAATTTATGCCCTAGTGACGTTATGTACTATTAAGTTTCTACAAAAACTATAACTAAAAAAGGTTTACTGCGCATAGCTTTACCTACAACTTGATTTGGCAATACTCGCTAGAGCTTCTTTACGTGTACATAAATGCTTATTTTTTTGTTTTTGGTTTATCGTTCTCATCATTAATTTATGAGTGGAAAAAACCTTTAGAACTTTGACCGTTGAGCATACGTATTGTTGTTTTTAGTATGAATTTCATAAATTCACGAATAGGCCAAATAAAACAGAGAATCGTGGCACTCGTAGAGTCAAAGCTCTCTTCTTTTGTATTTCAGCACTGCCTCGTCAATTAGTTAAATTAATCTATCTCTAAAACTATTTAATAACTAGCTGCTACGGAATGAATCATTAGTCAAATAAAATTACTTTGAGTAAATAATTAACGTTTCACAGTATGAATCTTTTTAATTTTATTTATATTACAAAATGTGCTAATGCTCATATATATCGAGTACAATTTTAATTATAAATGCATGGTTGTATACAAACACGTTTTTGCAGGATTAAAAAAGTAATCGTTATCTGTATTTGAAAAATTCATGAAAATATTGACAACTTGACTTTCAGTCAAAAAAACTTGTATCACAAACGTTTTGTACATATACTTAAAACTTATTATTTATCCATTGGGTTGAATTACGCCATTTTTCACAACCAGTAAAACCTTTGAATTCAAAATTATAAGCAGTAGAAAGGATTGCACATCACTTGAAAAAACAAAAAAAAACTATTTCCTTGGCCCATGATAAAAATAGTGTTATTTTTATGCAATGAAATAACAAAAAGTTGATCGATACTGGCTTAAGAAAGATTTTTTTCACTTTTTCTTATCAGAATGCAGAGATTTTTGAATGGGATGAGTACCATCGCCTCGGTTTTTAATAACATTTCTGACCAGTTCTTCCGATGGCACTTTACGATCATAGGCCCAGCCAATTTTTGCAAACAAATCTATCAAGTACAAAGTAAGATTTATTCCAGTTATGTAGTTTCCAAGCTCAGCCGTTTTATAATCCCACGGGAAGATGTGATGGTAGTTGTGCCAGCCTTCACCTCCAGTAATTAGAGACATGAGAATATTTTCCGCAGGTGCGATAGCCCTAAAATATAAAAAAAAATCCATTACTCAGAACATATTATTACTGCTTCAAACTTTAATTGAATTCTCCCGTTAGAAAGGTACAATTTGCTTTTTTGTAGAAAAATGTCAAGCTATTGCATTACAATAAAAATGTTAATTTTTAGTAAAGTTAGGGGCTGTTTCGATAATTTGTTTTTAAAAATTTAATTTTTTAATTACTACTCATCAGTCGAAGACAACACTGTCTACATACTGCGCTATATTTATTCATACAATGGCAACCTTATATTGAGAGATGTAAAAAAAAAAAAAAAAATTGGCACAATAGAGCAAATTGGTTTTTAGATGTGTATTCATGACTTGCATTGAATTTCTGTTTTCTAGAGTAATGAAAGAGTGACGGCTTTAAAATCAGAAAGCATTAATGTTTATAAATAAATAAATCTTACTTATCGTACGGGCGACCTCCAAACATGTGAGCAAAACTGTTGATACTCCATGTGCAGTTCAATGAATATGCGTAGCGCATGAAAGCTTGCGACAAAATTGCCCAGTACCAAGTCTCGTTCCAAAAGTAGACTGGCACCAAAATGGGTATAAGGAAAGCAAATACCGGTCGTAAGATGAAGAAGTATCTGAAACAAAAAATTTTAATTACTTTTTAATATTTTTTCAATAATAAATTATGCATGTTAAGATCCGTCAACTTAAGTTGGATTTTTTTTGTGAATTTTTATCGTCAATTTTGTTATTCATGAACTTGTGTTAAGGGGGCTCTGCACACTGACAAAAATTTTATTTAAAATATTTTTTTTTAAAGTTTGTCAACGACATAAAATATGAACCGCATAAAATATCAAAAACTATGGGAGGGGCGCTCTAAAACTGGCGTGGGAATTCTAACCCAAATATTATATTTACGAAAAGTGTTATAGCTGTATAACAATGTCATAACTACTTATGCATTCCGTATATTTATTATTATAGATGTAAAAATGTGCATTTAATAACTGTGTTTTTTTTTAAAGAAAAGTTACAATTTTGAATTAAATGCAGTTTACCTAGTAATCTCTTGTTAACGGATTGATAAAAAAAGAATGATTGTTTTCCTAGTACCGTTAAAATGACTAACTCACCTAATATTCAAATTCCAAAAATATTTACAAAGATATATCTAACCTTTTACTAATACATGTCACATCGAACTTTTTCACCTATCTTAACTAAGTCATTGTACTTGGAAAACATTGATTCTATACTTATCAAGTCGTTAACTGAAAAGTTTGTAATTACGTTCAACTCAGAATTTCAACTTTTCTTGAAAAACATCCAATTATTTTTACTGCATAATACGTTTAACGTTGTGCAATTCAAATTATTAGCATATTCTTCGATGATATAAATTGCGTGACATTTCCTATTAGTGTTTAAATTTTTTCAGTTGCTATCGTTGCATTGCAACCAACATGATCACCAACATTTGATTTATATCTGTATACCGATTTTTAGTTCATTTTTTCTCATAGAGCTTGTAACTCAAATTTTTATTCTATTAAATTTTAAATTACTGCTTTTGGACCCTTGTTATTAATATAATAATGTTAAATCAATAATTACATCGTAATAGTTATTGAATGAAAAAATTATGTTTGCTGCTTGCAATTCATCACTTGTCACTTTTCTACGTAATTTTTTGGAAAAGTCCGGGCAATTATTCAAGAAGCAGTTGATCCAAACATTTAATACTACGTAACATAACCACAGAGCCATCAATAATATATTTAACAATCGAAAGTAATTTTGAAGCGTATCTCATTTTATTGTACTCATAAAAACTTTTCATTCAATATTTATGTAAAGAGGATTGTAAAGAAAATGGTGCTCTACCACTTTGTATCAGCTGTCACATTGGATTCAGGAATTTATAACAATTTCATGTTGTTATACTCGCAAAAACAATTCATTTATTATCCACATACTTAAATTGGGTTATAAACAAAAAAAAATTGGATTTAAAATGACTTGATACAATCTATTGTACTACTATTAGTATCCTTTTATCAAATACCCATTTTGAGGAGTTGGCAGAAAATTAGTAGCCTATCATTTTATGTTGGAAGACATTTTGAATTTGAAATAGTTGTAGCATTTTCCTTACATCGGATTTATAATAACATCAAACATCTTTTATTGTATTCTTGTGACCAAATCATGTTGAAAAAGATTTAAAAAAAAAAAAAAAAAATTTATACAACATTTTGTAGTCCTAACACAATTAAATTTATCATAATACTGAAGATACTGTATATCATCTTCTTGCATGCAAAGGTGTGAGTAATATTTCAGCATGTTTAAAAATGTCTATGAAAAATGGATTGCAAGATTTATCCGAAGCAAACAAACAAATACAAAACCAAACATAGATTTTTCTTTTCAGTAGATCAAAGCTTGACGTTTTGCACATTGACTTCTATAACTTTTTCAAGATTTTTCTGAATTCACGTCGGTGTTCATGTTGAACAAATACTGTCAGAAATTACGAATAATAATTTATTATTATTGCTATTACTAGACGTTACTAAGTAATTTGTTATAATTATATTTGCAATAAAAAATATTTAAATACACTTCGTATTATAAATAAAACCCTTTAGACTAAGAGTATGTTATCAGTGGATAACAAAGTACCTCACAAAAATTGAGAATCATTCAGAAAAAAATTGGTTCATAGCTTGCTTCAATAAAGTGTACGTTACTAGATTGATAAAAATTCTATGTTAAATTTTAATACCTAATAATAACAAAAACCACTGTAACCGAGTAATAAACAGTATAACTCACGTGGAATAAGTACATACATTTTTGATTTACTTCGTTAACATTTAATTTGTTAAAAAAGCAAAGTGTCGAACCTTTAGAAATATATAAATTTTTGCTATCAATTTTTTTAGATATTTTCAAGAAAACGTTTCGTTCTAGGCGAATAAAACAATTTGCAAGAAAGAAATCTTATCAATTTTAAAAAATAAAATTTTTTTCATTTTTGTGAGCAACTGGATTGCCAGTGAAATCGGATTCTACATCCCAAACCAAACAACATAGATAAGCGAGTACGCATGGAATCATATCGAGCTTCATAACTATTGAAAATTTAAAGTGATAAGTTGTACCGCAGGATTATGAAAAAATACATTCAATAAAAATTTAGTATATTACGCACCAAGGGAAGAAAGTACTTGCGGGAGATGATGCCGCACTTTCTTCCCGAGGCCCGTATACGATTTTTTTTATCTCCCTTCACCAAAAATATGACGCTTTTCCGTGATTTCGGAAAGAAAAATGCAATGTAACCTCTTAGGTAGAAATCGTATCTACTGCTTATTAGGAAAAGATTTTTTCCTTCTTATGACTAATAGTTTTACGACAGGAGAGAAACACGTTGATTTTTTTTATTATTATGGAACCTGTGCTAGTTTCAATTTTTTTGATAATATTGGTTTTCCTTAAAAATAGTTTCTAAAATAAATTTATTTACAAAATTCGAAAGACCCTTTAACGCGTTGTATGGTGACATACTTGGGTACGAATACTTTTAAAATTATTTTGCAGCGTAATTTTTCACTTAAAATGTTATGTATTATTGGTGCAAAAAAAAAAATTTAATCCTTATATAACCCATATCGTAACAAAATTTTTTCCAGTAATTAATTATAATTTACGAAAAAAAAAAATTTTTAACGTTTGATTCCAAATACTGGATAATGAACTTGAATACCAACAATGCATTTTACTTGTCTGCTGAAAAAAAAAAATATTTTTAAATATTTGATTGAAGATTGAGAGATGAAGATTTCCTTTTCTCTCTATCTCACAAATGATGATCACATTGATGATAACAGTAAGAGAGATAAAAGTTAGCGTTGCTGATGCACGAAGGAGTTACGTGATGAGCACGTGCAGTGTCTCGAGTATGCTGTAGATTAAACCAAGAAACGTGAGATAAGATGATCCACAACGTCAGATAAATAATTAATTTCACTTATGTTTCTGTTAATAGCTTATGTTAAATTGAATAGTTTTACAGATTTTATTTAGATGAGGTATGAAAAATAAAAAATTTTAATTTAATTTATACACAAATATTTGTATTTTGTATCCATAAGATTAACTGATTAATTTTTCGAGCACCCCCTATATCTTCTCTATGCGAAGGGTGTTGACCCCAACCCCATCTGTAACCCCTTACACGTAATCTCCTTATTACCACGTCTAAACTCAGAACCCCGGCTCCATTTTTCCAACTGATCCCGTATCTCTCTTTCCACCCTGACCCATGACAACCACACTTTTGCCAACTAGTACCCCCATTTACCCAAATTGCCCATGGGGCCCGAATTTTCTCTGTGATCCAGAACCAGCTGCAAAGCTTAGGAACAAGTCCTGGCCAGAAATAATTTTAGAAAAATCTTCAACTTGCGGATCGATCCGAACATCATGTATATGTATATGTATGTGTATATACGAGGATATCAAAAAAAAAGTATTCCCTTGAAATCGGACTTATTTAACTCGCAATGCCGTGTACTAAAAAAAAAACAATTTTGAACAAGAGGTTTAATGAGGGTGACACACTTTTTCCGCGATTTACATGTTAATATTATATCTATCTATAAGATAGCTATATATATATACAATATTAACATGTGAATCGCGGAAAAAGCGTGTCACCCTCACTAAACCTCTTGTTCAAAATTTTTTTCCTCATATTACATGGAATTACGAGTAAAATGATCCCTATCTCGAAGGTGTGCCTTAAAAAAATTTTTTTATTAAAATAATGCACAAAAACGGGATATTTTTCGTGGATTTTCACATGTACGTACATGAACAATAACTAAAAAAACATGAAATACTTATTTTCAATAGTTTTATGTAATTTGGTTATTTACACAAAAGTATCAGTATCCAATATCGCATTGACTGGGCTTCTTAGTATAATTTTCAGGGAATTTTTAAAATGCGGATAACTTTAACTTCAAACTTATTTAATTTTTTATCAATGATTGAAAATCTTAAAACTATTTATCACGTGATGACTTCGTTCACTTCCCTCCGTTTTTTAACGTTGCCAGAAAGTCCCCTCTACCTATGGTGGTACTACATAAAAAAATATTTTTCAAGTTAAAAAAAAAAATTAAACATTTTTAACAATAATAATGTGATAAAAGATGAAAGTACCGTTGAACTGATTGTTAACATTTCTGAGATTGAAATGAATCTTTTTTTCATTGAAGTAATTAGTTGTACATAAAATTAAAGAAAAAATCTAAGTAAAATAGCATATAATAATAGACTTAAAAAAAATAAAGATATTTTACATCTTCAATCATGTAGGACTATCATCAACACAAGACATACATCAAGAAGACGTTACTTTCTACTATGGTTTCTACTTATTACAATATTATTTCTGAATCCCATAATTTTCATATCATTTTGAGTAATTCACAAACAATTTTTGATGAAAAATGTGTTAGCGAAAGGAAAAAAAAAAAATTAGTACTAAGACGCTACAGCTCATTCGACTTATATTTCGTCTGATAAAACAAAAAATTCAACAATTAATGAGATGCGGAAAAAGTTTTAATGCACGATAATTGTATCGAGTTGCAAAAAAAAAAATTTACATATTTTTGTTTTAAAACACGCTTCACTTTAATCGATGGGACGATTAAGTAGTGCCACACGTAATATTGATACGAATGATATTCGAATGTTTCAAATGTATAAAAGTGGGGCCATTGGCGCCTATTGTATGTAAATATCGTGAACTCTGCGAATCCCGGCACAAAATACCTCATAAATGCTAAATTATCACCAATTGAAACTTTTACTCACTTTTCTTCGAACTTTATGACAGGGTCCGAGAGGCAGTCGCTGAAATCGATCTGTCGTCCCTTTCTGAGCACTTCCGGGTGCCTTTTGAGGGTTAACCAGCCCAAGTGACTGAACCAAAATCCTCGCACCGAGTTGACCGGATCAGCGTCAGTCTCCTTTATTCACAACCAAAGATTTATTTTTTAATTGTTTATGATTATTGATAAAAATAAAAAAATAAAAAGAATACAAACCGAAAATTTGTGATGTACGCGGTGATCTTTGATCCACGTCATGGCCGAATACTGAAACGAAAAATTATTGGCTTACATTAATGGTGTTTCTAAGAAGATTCGTGGAGAAATTTCACGTGGCCGTACTCATTGAAGAACGAAATTCTGTTCGCATTTTCGCCAAACCATATTTCTTACACCTTGAGACGAAAAGAACCTCGTTGTCTCTTGAGAGTGTATCATTGAATTTCTCATTTCCCAGATTTTCTCTCTGAAAAATTTTCCAACAAAAGAAGCAGGAAAAAAACCCTCACGAATTTCCCAAAAATCGAATATTTTTTTTGCCTGATTGTGCATTTCCAGTCAAAACTCCCGGAAAATGCACATTTGCGCGTATGCAAATGAGTCATTGACGTTGAAATAAACGCTCGTCGTATCACTACTTTTTGGCTTCAAATCTCACGCGATAAGAAAACGAGGGTCCGATCGACGACGCGTATACTTCTTTCACTCTCTCTTGGGGTTGAAAAAAAAAAAAAAAAAAAAAAAAAAGTGCCAAACTTTTGCTCACCTGTCCAGAAGTCAGGTAGCATAGCATGAGAATGACCCTGAGGGGGAGCTTGGCTTTGTACGCGCGGTGAGACCACAATCTATGGACGCCTCCAGCAACTCCAAAGTTGGCGATCACTGCCAAAAACCAACCTGAAAGGAAAAAAAAAAAAAAATTGCCAATAAACAACAAAAAACCACCAAATGGCCCCCTTAGTTTTTCTTTTCCCTCTTGCCATTCGGAGAACAGCGTATACTATCCGAAAAAACAAAAACTGGGCAACGAAACAACAGTGCAGTGACAATACCCCAGGCGAACGTCCGCTTCTTTTCCAGATAGGGAAACGTGAGGAACCCGTAGATCGCCACGGCGTGCAGGACAACCATGAACGTCAAGTTGAACCATTTGACGTCGGTCCTCTGGAGAAAGGGCTTGTTTATCGATGCGTAATACTCGTCGCTGATCCTCTGGCTCTCCTCCGCGTCGCTCAGCTTTTTTATGTCCACTGCCTCGCATATGTCCTTCCCGGGTTCGTCCACCAATTTCGCCTGGCTGAGCACTTTCTCGGACATTGTTTCGTTCGGTGCCATGTTGAATTTCTGTAAATTTACGTTTCATCCATACAAATGGCACTACGATCAATTCCGCGATTATGCTCGGTTACTGCTTAGTTAATTGTGGACGTTAATCGTACCATGTAAAAAATAGTAGTTTTCGTCGCCTAAGTGCCATCGTCTCCGGGGCCATTTTGTGGCCTGAGGGACGTAAGTTAGCCACGGAGTGATGGCGCTTATGTGGCGAATGCTATTTTTCCTACCGAGGGCGCACCAGCCTCTCAAAAACGCCCGAGGTAGGAACAAAATTTTTTTATTTCGGGGTATGATAAATTGCGTACGTATATTACAATTGGTAATAAAAAAAATAAAAAAAAAAAAAAGGTTCAGCTGTACCTATGATTTTCGTTTGCGCTATACAACGTACTTGGGCGCGCTCTGTATACGCAATAGCCCACGGTATTATGTATAAATTCAGTGGGCAGCGCAGCTGAGCACATTGTGGAAACGTGCTTCTCTCGCTTGCTTCCTTCCCCTGCCCATTTCTATAATACCGTCAGCACGTGACACGACGCCCGATACATGTATATATATGCTTTTCCTCAAGTTTCGGTGGTGTGATGTTCCATCGAAATGTATATAGGTATAACTAAGTACCGAGGTAAGCATAAAACGCAATTCTACTCTAGCGCATAGCATTTACTGCTATCGCTTGTGTTGAATAATACTTTATACGCGGATAAGATAGGAGGAAATAATTTTCCTGCGGGCTTTAAGGGTTATACGAAAAAATTAAATTTGCGGTAAAAATGGCTACGTAGGGACTGTTCTATAAAGAAAATCATTTTGCTTTACCAAAATTAGCGAAAAAAAAAATATGTTTTAAAAAAATGATACAACAGTGTAAAAGAAAAGGCGAAAAACGTTACAAATGAGAGATGCAGTACAGGCGTCCTGGACGTCATCCGAACAAAATGACACCGATGACCACAAAACGGAATAATAAATAAAAACCACGTATTCAATTAGCCGTCGCTTTCGCCCTCCGAAAACAAGTAAATCTCTCAGTCCCGAAAACCCGTCGCTCACACAAAAGAAAAGAAGCGTTTTACTTACGTTACACCGTCGCGCCGGCTATACGAAACGGAAACTCCTACGATATCTGTTACACCACCCATACGTATATAAGTACTCCAGGGAGCACAAAAGTAACAAACGAAATAATAAACAATTACATTCGCGTGTACTCGTGTATATACACAAACCTCAAGTTCACAAGGCTTACCCGCGAAGGATGAGTTTCAAAGTCACTCGGTTGATTGTTACGCGAGTATCAATCTAGCACGCGAACACACGAGAAAAAGAGCCACCCGCGGCGGCAACGCGCGACATTGCTTCGAATCGGTACTTACTTACTTAAATCGCTTACCTGTTTCGCCAAAAAACTCGAGCCCGTTCACTCGGGGGTGGGGGAGGGGGTGAAGAAAAACGCACGGTTTAAGGATCAAATGGTCCGGTAGGACAACGCAGGCACCTTATATCGTACGGCTCTCTGATCCAATCACTTGCTTGCGACCGACTGTAATGTTATACTCACTCTGCCGCTGCTTATTCTTCCTCTTTTCTCTCTCCCTTTTCCCGTGTGTGGTGTGAGCACACACACACACACACACACACACACACACACACGCGTTGGCAGGGAAAAGATTATTGGACTCTGGTGGTGACGATCGGCCCGTGTAGGAAGAGCACCATTCCCAGGGCCGTACGCGACCTCGAGAACCATGACCAGGTGACTTGGATGGCGCTTTGGAGGCGTCACGGTGCAGGAAAAGTCAAAAAGTTCGGCGGAATACTTGAGATTTTTTTAACATTTTGTCAATAATTTTGGACACCTACGATTTGCGGGTCCGATTCGGATTGCCCTGCAGCAGATGAAATTCGTATACATTGTTCAAAAGCAATTTTGGAAATGAAAATTTGGTTTATGATTGAATACGCGCGTGTTTTACAGAAAAAAAAAAAAAAAAAAAATACACAACGTTTTGCGGTAAAAGTAACGACTTTACCGTACAAATTGTTTATCTCATTGTTTGCTTTGTCTCTCTCTCTCTCTCTCTTTGCAAGCTTTCATTTGTCCTTGGCGGCACTGCAAATTAAAAAGCAATAAACCTTCCAAATACTTATTACCAACACCCGGATCTTCCAACATCGCGAACGGAGCTGGTACAAAACGCAAAATTATTAATTGTTATTGTAACCGGAGGTGAGAACGGCCGCCTGCACAAATGTGACACGGCACTGACGAACACCTCTCGGAGCAGCTGCAGCCCCATTCCTGATTGGAAGAGCGCCCATCACCCCTTGAGCTCTCGCCCATAGAGAACAACCGTCGGGGCTCTGGCCACCCTCACGTGATGCGTGCGCATTATGAAAATTTACCTACAAAGCTGCTGGAACGTCACTTGACGTGCACAATAGGCGTGTTTTTCCGCTCTCGTTGGCTATTGAACGTGATCTTGCTTGTATAGGGGAGAGTCTCCAGAAAAATAACAACAACCATCTCGGTTTTTTGGAGTCAATAGTAAAGGGGGAATCCATGTGCATGTCGGGCTATTTTTTATTTTGCAATTATCCTCCAAGTGAGTGGACGGTGGTTCGGAAAAGATTAAGACCCAGTATGTGAAAAAAAACCTTTGATTTGCTTTTTGGTTGTTCGAAAAAGTGGTCAGCTGTTAGAGTTGTAAGGCACTTGGAGTTTTCTTTACGGTGGGATTCCTTCGATTTGTGGGATTGTATAACTTTATTACGCTAAGCGTTATTTTGAACGTTATACAAAAAATCGAGAAATAGTGTCTAGAGTATTTTTACTTCACTACTTCTAATTATAATCAATAATGACGTTCTTGGCATGGGCTGTATTTTTTTTTTTTTTTTTTTTTTTTTTTTTTTTTTTTTTTTTTTTTTTTTT